AGGCAGGGTCCTGGGAAGCCCAAGAGCTTCCTTAGACTTGTCTCACCAACAGAGCTGAACACAAGGAAGAATTACTCATCAAACATTAAAATATGTACGTGGTGGGACTGGGACAAAGTATTTGCATAACGCATTTGATAAATGCAAATTAAAAACCACAGTGACATGCCGCGAGCCATTACAGTGACTAAATGTTTCTTCCGTTTTTCAAGAGCCAGCTCACTTATTTCAATAATACAACTTGAAAGTCACCCGCAGCAGGGACGAGACAACAGCTTCCATTAACAAATCACTGTAGAGAACGCGGAAGGACGGCTCGGGTGGGCAAGGGGCGTGGCAAACTCACGAGACTGAGATCAGCAGAGAAAGCCTAGCACCCAAGCCAGATGCTGGGGCTACAGCGGTCAGGATCAAGTCCTGGAAAAACTCACTCTGGCAGAATCTGTACAGGGACTGAGTGAGGCTCTATCTACGGAGGTCGCCATTGATCTTAGCTTCAAGACACTGCCCACATTTCTGGACACTTTGCCCCTGTATCTGCAAAGCCAGCAACAGTTAAGAAAGGCCTTTTCTCCCATGCTTTGAATTTGACATCCTTTTATCCTTGGTCAGGAGAAAGCTCTGCATATATACATATACATATACATATACATATACATATACATATACATATACATATACATATATATATATGATTTATTTATTTTATGTATGTAAGTGCACTATCTGCATGTATGACTTTATGCCAGAAGACGGCATCAGATCCCACTACAGATGGTTGTGAGCCACCATGTGGTTGCTAGGATTTGAACTCTCCCTCCAGCCCCCCACCCCTCCACCCGGAAAGCGCTACTCTTAAGGGAGTGTGTAATTATTGGAGCTTACTGAGGCAGCCCAGGATAACCAACTTTAATGTAAATTGACTAGTCAACTTAAATTCTATCTACATCTTGGTTTTTTGGTTTTTGTTTTGTTCTTTTGGGTTTTTTTTTTTTTTTTTTTTGAGTTTTTGCCTGTAATATGACATCACAGTCATGTCACCGGGGAAAAGAAGTCTAAAGAGCAGGAAGTTCGACACGCATTTTACACCACAATCTAGCACCCAAAAGTAGAAAGGAAACAAAAATCAAAATCTCTAACTGTAACATGAATCTTAAAAGGTCTTATTAATAAAATCAAACCTGAGGCCAGTTATTGGGGTGAATGCTGGAAGATCAGAGAAGCAGAACAAGCCACAGCTACCTCGCCTCACCAGTTCCTCAGCTGATCCTGTTTCCTCAGACTGAGTCCTCATCCAAATGGATCTCAGCTGAACTGCTTCTCAAAAGCCTGAAAGCTTAACCAGCTCTAGTTCCTGGTTTTCACGCCTTATATACCTTTCTGCTTTCTGCCATCACTTCCTGGGATTATAGGCTCACTTTCCGGGATTAAAGGCGTGAGTCACCATGCCTGGCTGCTTCCAGTGTGGCTTTAAACTCACAGAGATCCAGACAGATCTTTGCCTCTGGATTGCTAGGATTAAAGGTGTGAGTGCCACCATTTTCTGGTCTCTATATCTAGTGGCTGTTCTGTTCTCTGACCCCAGATAAATTTATTAGGGTGCACGATATATTGGGGAACACATTATCACCACAATCTAACTGAACTCAATACTAACTTTCTTTTCTTTTGGGACAGTGTCTCACTATGTAGACCAGGCTGGCCTCACACTCAAGAGATCCACCTGCCTCTGTCTCATGAATGCTGGGAGTAAAGTAGATATGATAAGATAAAAAAGGAGATTATGGAATCTACTTTTAAAAAGGAACTACTTGTTTTAAATAAGATAAGTAATGAAAATTTTTTGGTCTGAGTTTATCAGATGTTACTGGACTGGACATTATTAATATATATAATGGTGTTTTTATCTGAATCTGTCAAATGTTAATGGACTAGACATCATTAATGTAATCTTGAAAGTATATTGTATATACTTACTGGATATAACTTTTCTTGTACTAGTTATAAGCTTTTTTAAATTTTAGACAAAAAGAAAGGAAATGTGGTATTGTATTCCCCCAAATATTATGCATGCTAATAAACTTATCTGGGGTCAGAGACAGAGCAGCCACAATATTAAACATGAGAATAGGCAGTGGTAGCACACGCCTTTAATCCTAGCATTCCAGAGGCAGAAATCCATGTGTTCAAGGATACAGCCAAGCATGGTGACTCACGCCTTTAATCCCAGAAAGCGAGCCTTTAATCCCAGGGAGTGAGGCAGAAAGCAGAACGATATATAAGGCGTGAGGACCAGAAACTAGAAGCATTTGGCTGGTTAAGCATTTGGCTGGTTAAGCATTTGCCTGGTTAAGCATTTGGCTGGTTAAGCTTTCAGGCTTCTAGCAGCAGTTCAGTGGAGAGCCATTGGGATGAGGACACAGAAGCCTCCAGTCTGAGGAAACAAGACCAGCTGAGGATCCGGTGAGGTAGCTGTGGCTTGTTCTGTCTCTCTGATCTACCAGCATTGACCCCAATAACTGGCTCGGGTTTGATTTTATTAATAAGAACTTTTATATTCCTGCTACAATAAAGGGATGTGCCACCATGCCTGGCTCAATACTACTACCTTTTTAAATCATGTGCACTGCTTACATAACTTATTTTATGTGTATGAGTGCTTTGCCTGTGTGTGTGTATACACACACCATGTGAGTGCCTGGTACCTACAGAGGTCAGAAGAGCATGTCAGATTCCCTAGAACTAAAGTTAGGGATGGTTGTCAGTCACTAATTGGGTACTGGGAACTGGGAACCAACCCAGGTCCTCTGTTCGAGCAACAAGTGTTCTTAACCACTGAGCCAACTCTCTAGTCCAATATGAGATGGTTTCACCTACCTAATCTTTATTTATCTATTTATTTTGAGACAGGGTTACTATGTGTAGTCTGGGCTATCCTGGAACTGTAGAGCAGGCTAGCTTCGAACTCAAGAGATCCACCTGCCTCTGCCTCCTGAATGCTGGATCAAAGGCATGCATCTCTGTGCCCAGAAAATTTTCAAACGTATTAACTCATATTTTTCTAGTGACAGCATCTAATATCCTTTCTGTTTACATTTTTTAAAAGTACACCAACATTAAGGAATTTTTATATTTCAAGAATGTGGCCAAAGTAGAAGGTTCAACAGGTAGAAGTATTTGCTACACCAACACAAGAAGCCGAGTTCAGATCCCTGGCATCCATGTAAAGGCTGGGTGAACATAGCAACCCACCAATAATCCCATCACAGAGGCAGGATGGGGCTGCTGGGACCACAGCAAGCTGGCTAGATCAACCAAACTAGCAAGCTGAGTTTAAAGACCCTGCCTCAATAAAGTGGGACAATTGAGGAAAACAACCAGCATCAAACTCTGGCTTACACACATATGTGAACATGCATGCACGCCACACACACACAAATGAAAATAAACACAAACATTAACCTTGTTATATAAAGAAATGCTGATAACATACACTGATTAATCTCTCCCTATTGGCCAAAGTCTATAATTTTAACTTCCTCTTGAAAAAAGGTATGCACATTCAAATATGTGTAATAACAGGCCTATTGGTGGGTCTATGTAACACTCAAAATTATATTCAGTTACAGGTTTAACTAATCACAGAAAAAATACAAACCAGGCCGGGGAAGAGGCTACAGGGTACTTGGCCAGCATTAGTCAAGGCTGTCAACACAATCAAAAACAGGGAAAGGGCCAGCAAGACGGCTCAACAAGAAACCACACCTGCTGCAGGAGCCATGGAGCCGGCCTGGCCCAGCTGCCTTGAGAGGCATGCTCACAGGTTTTCAGGTTAGGGTCCACGGCTCCTGGGGCACCTCCTGGGGCACCATGTGCCTTCCAGCTCCTGAGAGGCTGGCACACTCCCTCAGGCAGTGAAGCGTTCCCTCAGAAGTCAAGGAAACATGGAGGCTCGACAGGACAATTGGTCTCAGACATTAATCTGGTGTACCCTGTATAGCTTGCCAATTTCATTGTATTTTGGCAATACAACTGTATTGATCCTGGCAACTGCCATTATATTCTGTTTCTGATAAAGGTATAAAAAGTCTGATTACTCTCAATAAAATTGTCACAGCCTCAGTTGTGCTGTGGCCCCTCCAACCAGCCTCATTTAATTCCTCAAAACCATATCAGGTGACCTTGGTAAATAAACATTGGTTTATTTACAATAAATCTGTTCCTGTGCCATGGCACCCATAGGCACAAGCATACACACTCACAATTAAAACAGAGACAGACAGACAGACAAGGAAATAGAGCTGGCAAGATGGACCGGCAATTAGGGCCTGATGACCCGAGTTTGATCCCCGAAACCCACATAAAAGCAGATCCCTGCATGTGCAACCACACACAAATGAAAAACAAAACTAAGAAACTTGAGGAAAGACTGGGGAGACACAGGAAGCAAGAATAATTTAATACTCTGGATTAACTCTCAAAACAAAGGATATTAATAGAAAAAAATAAGTGAAATTCAAATAAAACATTGAACTCAACAAACAGCAACCCATTAATGTCAGTTCCTGGTAACACTGAAATGTTAGTCATGGGGGACCCATAAGCAGGACCCAAAAACACTTTTCTATAAATCTAGTATTTTTCTGAAAGTTTATTTTGAACATGTTACAAGATTGAGTTTACTATTCTGGAGAAAACATCCTGCAGACTTTGTATCTTAAGAGATCTACACTGCAGAACACTATAAGAAGCCCTGGCCAAGGCTTTCTGTTGCCTTCCTGAACATTCTAAGTTCTCCAAACACACTGCCCACACCTTCTCACAAAAAACACAAGAAAATGAATTGAGCCAGGCACTGGAGGAGTAAGGGAAAGGAAGTTACTGTCCCATGTACATGCTGTTCCAGCCTGAGAACATTATCCCAAGTTCTGGAGGCCAATGATGGTGATGGTGGTGCAACACTCTGAAAATATTCAATGCCACTGAGCAACACACTGAAAAGCGGTTAAAACGGGAAACTTTATATTATGTCTATTTCACAACTTAAAGGGTACAAATACATATCATAGCACAGATAAAATTTAAATAACATGATGGAAATTATGTCATACACCAAAGACTCATGTCAATCTGTTCACAGGAAAATGTTCAAAATCTTGCTACACATACCTATGCATATCTCGAAAGAAAAAAATCCCACCAAATTTTACAGTTTAAATTGTTTATGACAAATGAACCATACTTCAATAAAACTGCTAGGACATCGCTTTGACTCCTAAGGAGAAGTGGATCCCATAAATTAAATTATAGACCCACGTTCCAATGACATGCTGAGAAAGAACCAAGTTAATAAAAAGGTGACTCAGGATGGTTGGTAGAAAGTCTGCACCTGACCACCTGGTTCTCCAGTCACAGGGCAAGAGCAAAGGCAGGACTCGAAAACACGGAACGAAGCTGAGCAGAGACCTTCACTCTGGTCTTCCTGCTCAGTGAGCCACTGTGTAAAGTCCTTCCGTCCAGCAGCAGCTACATCCAGGCCTGAAGTGGAAGACAGACTCGAGTAACGGAAGACTTGGTTGGTGGAGAATGCTCTCATAGAGCTCTGCTTCGTGCAGCTTGGGAAAGTAGAAGAGGACTGTGTAACTGGCAGACTCTCCAAAGCTGAGGCTGGCACAGGGAAAGGGGAAGGTGCGGGCGGCAAAGGCTCACAAAATCATCCAGCTCCGCAATCAATCCAAAGTGCCTAAAAACACAAAGGGCAATGTGTAAAGCAAGCAAGGTGTCTCAGTCTGGGGGCGTGTGCCAAACCGGGCAGTTAAAGCACATAGGGTGTTGCTGGTAACAGCAGTTCCAATCTGAGGAACACCTATCCAAAAGTCCCAGCGGGAGACGTCACTGAAGAAGTAGCCAGTGGGAATTAAACCTACAACGCACAGAATTGGAACTAGAGCTGGAAAAGAGCTAAAGAATCGATACATTACTCAATGAACATTAAAAATAATAAAGGCTCCCTGAGCAAAGCATTTATAATTTTAAAAACGATTCCCTTCTACATGTATTTTTGTATGTGAGTGTGTATATACCATGCCCAGAGATGCCAGAAGAAGGCATCAAGATCCCCTGGAGCTAGAGTTCCAGAGGTTGTGAGCCACCTAATGTGGGTGCTGAAACTGAACTGGGTTCCTCGACTATCCTACAGTCTTAACTGTTGAGCCATCTCTCCAGTCCCTCAAATCTTTTTTCAGAAAGTCCCAGTTTATGTTGGCACCTGAGCACACAAGTTTGCATACTCTCCAAGATTCTATTCAAAAGAGAGGAAGCTTTTAAAAAGACATAAATCCACAATACAGAATGAAGATCCACTAACAGTTGGGCAATTCCAAGAACAGAAAAAGAATGAATCACCAACATCTCACTGAAGCATATTTATAAACACAGCAAAACAGACTGGAGCCTAATAGAGGGGATGCAAGAGAAGAGGCGCTATCCCCACCCCAGAACCAGCAGAAGGCACTAGACCAGTGGTTCTCAACCTGTGGGTCACAACCCTTCAGCAAATCTCTATCTCCAAATATATTTAATTACAACTCACAACAGTACAAAGTTAAAGTTATAAAAGGGTCAGCACCACATGAGGAACTGTGTTAAAGGGTCGCTGCATTAGGAAGGTTGAGAACCACTGCGCTAGACCTAGTTACCAGGACTGATAGGACAGGAAGTGAAAGGAAAGGAGCTGATGCCCCACAGGACACAGGCTCGCCTCCCCACATGCCTCATACAACCCTCCCTATATGCAGAAGCCAGGGACTTAAACATATATAGAGAAGAAGGAAAAAAATCACAGGAGTTTCTTCAAAATAACCAAGTGACCTGGCTATCCAGGGAAACTAAAGCAGCCTCGGCTACCACACGCCCAGGAAGCATTCTGCATTCTGGCCTGTGGGGCCTCAGTATGATATCTGCTCCCATGCCTGTTCACCCCGAAGTGAAGGTACAAAGCACCAACCACACCACTTTACAGACACACGGCTTCCCAAACAGCCTCATCATCCCTCACGTTTGCACAGAAGAACAGCACTGGACTGAAGAAGCCTACACAGTACAAGGAGAGGCCAAAGGCAGTTTTTAATCCTATAATAAAGCATAATTCAGGGGACTAAACATTAGAAAAATCAAACCAGAGAGATACCTGGAACTAAAAACTCATAACTTTCTTGGGAGTTTTGTACTGTTGTTTGAGGAAGTATGTCACTGGTCAGGCTGGATTGGAGCTCCTTTTGTAGCAGAGGCTAACTGAAAACTTAAAATCCTCCTGCCTCAGTGCCCTAAGGACTGCGATTTACAGGCATGAGCCACCATGACTGCCAACTTGGGCAAATCTCTGTTGAGAAAAAGGAATAAAGCTAAGCTTATTATAAGAATAAAATTTCTCAATAATTGAAAACGAATCAAGAGGCAAATCTACAACCTTGAGAGGGCAAAGTCACGAATTAAGGCCAGCCTCCAAAGCTATGGTGGCCTGAAGGCATCTGCCAACCAACCTGTCAGAGGGGCTGTTTGGCAGGCTGAGGGAAGCAACAGTCACACCTCTGTCTGTCCAAATGGGAAGGTGGAATAACCCCCTTTAAGTGGGAGTCTCATAATCACTACCAGAAATAACAAGTCAATCTATCAGTTAAATACTTCGGGCTATCACAAACAACATAATATTAAACTTTTACATACCTAACTACATGGTCTTACATAATAAACAGAATCAGAATTATAAGTGAAATTAACCTGCAGCTATGATTGGAGAATTTAACAGGCAATTCTTACCTGGTAACTAATAACAATGAGTAAAGAAAACAGGAAATCTGCAGAGTGTCCCTTGACTTTGCACCAGCAACTACAACACTCTCTCTTCAAGCACACACAGAACACTGCCCAGGGTGACCATACACTCAGCTATAAAGCCAGGTGGGCGACTAACAGAAGCGGTTATTAAGACAGACAGGTGGAAAGACAAAGATCTACAACTTAAAGACAATACCCAAAAACCTAGACTTGCAGCAGACATTAGGAAGGCATCTTTCAAAAATAACATATAAAGAGTGCCGGGGCATAGGCTGACACACAGAGGCAGAACAGAGTGAAAAGAGTAACTGAAGATTATATTAATATTATTATTATATTATTATTTACTGGCACTTGGGAGATGATGCAGGAAGAGAAGGAATTCAAGGTCACTCTCAGCTACACAGTGAATTCAAGGTGCTTAGCTACATGAGACCCTGTCTTTATAAGTTAGCAACCGAGGGTGGAGAAACTACTCGGTGACTAAGAGTGCTTGCTGCTCTTCCAGAGGACCTGAGTTCAGTTCACAGCACCCAGTTTAGCAGCTCACAACCACCTCTAACTCCAGCTCCAGGGGATTGGATGCCCTCTTCTAGCCCGTGGGTATCTGCACACATGTGGTATATCATATACTCACACAAAAACACATACACATAAATAAAAATTAATCTCTAAAAAAATTTACAAATTGTTTCTAATTCCTAACATCATATTTGGGATGGAGATTTAAGTAGGATTCAAATTGTAAATCCAGCTAACTCTACCGGTGTTTTTTATACTCCCTCCTTCTCCTTTTAAGCTAGCAGTTTCCCAGTAGAAACTCTAATTCCCAAAAACGGAAAATGTTCCCCCCCCCCATAAAAATAAGAACCAGGGAGAACTGTTCCCATGTACACAGAGGAGAACCAGGCGTGTGTTTTTATAAGGTTTGAATTCATGTCATCTGCAGGGAAATGATTTATGCAGCTGGTGAACTCACCTTCTAGAAAAGCGAATTCATCCACAGCTTCTATAGCATTATCTGAAACACAAGGAAAAGGGGTACTTGATTAGCTCTTGTCATTTGGACGTCAGACCCAAAACTGCACAGTCCACATAGTACCAAGGCATGGGATTTTATGCGAATGACATCATGTATAAAATATGTATCCCTTGATGTCGTGAGATCCATTTGTACACTATTAATTCTTACATATAAAATCCCATGCAAATGCTGTTCAGTAAGACCTCCTACAGTCCTGTTTAAAACCTAAATTCACTTTTCTCTCCGCTCTAAGGTTACTAGAAAGAGTCTGGCAGCGTAGAAGGGGGTGAGAGATACAGCTGTAAAGGTTTACACACGTGCAAGTGTTACCAGCTAGATGAAGAAACCACAAACCAAACTTCCCCTTGCCTCAGTGATGCCTTGTGAATCAACTATAAGAAAGCCTGGGGCATGGAGTGGGAAGAGGACTGAAGGCCTTTAATCCCCCCCAGTACTCAGGAGGCAGAGGTAGGCGTATCTCTGTGAGTTCCAGGTCAGCCTGATCTACAGATCGAGTTCTAGCTAGACGTTATTACACAGAGAAACCCTGTCTCAAAAAACCAAAATGAACTAACGAACAAAAGAAAGCCAGCCAGCCTAGCCCCCGGTTCCCTTGTCCACCCCGAGGTACCACAGTGACTCTACCCAAATCTCTCCTCTGGAGGGTTTTCCTCTTTCCTTGTTGAGCACAGCAGTAGGCATCTTTTGCAATAGTCTCCACGAACAGTTCCTGCGAAACAAACAAGCACAGGTAAGATCAGTTCATTCTAGTCCACTGGGGGGGGGGGGGGGGCGATCCTGTGTATTAGGGGAGCAAGAAGGGTGAGGGGAACTCTATCACACAGGAAAGTTCTAGAAGCTAAGGTTGCCCTAAGCTTCATGAAGATACTTCTGCTATTCCTTTCCCCAACAGGCTAGCTCATCATCCCCCTGCTGATGCTTATAAATCCACCTCACTCATTCCCTAGGGACCCCTTCAAGCTCTGTGCGAGCCACCGGAGCCGCAAACTAAAGTGGCGTGAACAAACTCAAAGCGCCCTGCAGAAGCCTTCCCTAGGCCTCCTGCCAAGCAAGTCAGCACACCTGGGCCCGCCGCGCCCCGCCCCTCGCGCCCGCCGCGCCCCGCCCCCAGAACGCCACGCCCCCCGACCCCGGCGCCCTGGCTTTCCCGTCGCACCGCGGCACGCGCCAGGATAAAGATGGCTTCCTGTCCCGCGAGCGTTACGTCAGGGTCCGCCTTCACCAAAGCCTTTACTCTCGCCAGAGGCAGCCTCGAGAGCCGAGCCCCGGGTGCACTCGTCGGGGCCTGGGCCTGCGGAGCTGCTGCCTCCCCTCCGGAAGCCTCCTCCTCTCTGGGCGTCCCGCTCCCAGCCGCCGCCGCCGCCGCCGCCATCCCCACCCTGAACGTGCTGCGCGCGATCGCCGGCTGAGCGCGCACACGCCGCGCCGGCCCCTTTCCCGCGCCGGCTGGAGGCCACGCCCTCCGGTGTGGGCGTGGCTCCTCCCTCCCAAAGCGGGGCGCGCCGGAAACGCCCTCTCTGGCCGGAGTGTCTGGTGTTGCCTTCCGGGTGTGGCCTAGCCGGAAGTCCGGATGCCTCGCCCGATCCTGGGTTGGCGCTGAGAGTTAAACTCTAGGCTGGCCTAGGGGCGCCACGGGCGTCCCCACCGCACAGCGCCGCGCCGCGCTGCGGGACGCCGCACCCGGGCCAGCGTTGTTGGTGACCGTGTTTTAGGTGGAATGGGACATTTGAGGGGGAGGAATGGGAGAAGTCAGGCCAGGGTGAGGTAACCACTACAAAAAGGCGTGCGGACTTGGAGAGCAAGTTGAGGTGTCTATGGTTGTTCAAACATGGATTGCATCAGAACACCAATGTCCTTACTCCTAAAAAAATAAAAATAAAAATAAATTGAGCCGGGCGGTGGTGGCGCACGCCTTTAATCCCAGGTGGATCTCTGAGTTCGAGGCCAGCCTGGTCTACAGGGAGGAGTTCCAGGCCAGCTAGGACTACATAGTAAGACTCCATCTTTAAGACAGAAAATAGCTTTGGCCTCCAGAAAGGATCTCCAAGAAGCCCCTTCGTCCCCCTTCCCCATGGGTTCTCACACCACACTGAGGTCTGGGATGGGGGAGCAGTTAATACTTGCAATAGGTAAGGGAGATGCTCAGGCAGTAGAGTGCCTGCTGTATACATCAAGGACCCGAGCTCAAAGCACAAGAAGACAAGTAAAAGACCAGGGTGACAGCTAACTCCTATAACCTCTGCACTAAGGGAGTGGGGCTGCTGCAGCTGGCTAGCCTAACCAAACAGCAGGCTTCTGGTTCTGTGTCAGACGCAGTCTCAAGAAATAACAAATACAGACGGGCGGTGGTGGTGCAGCACTCGGGAGGCAGAGGCAGGCAGATCTCTGTGAGTTCGAGGCCAGCCTGGTCTACAGAGCAAGTTCCAGGAAAGGCTCAAAACTACACAGAAAAACCCTGTCTCGAAAAACCAAAACAAACAAACAAAAACACATCACACGCGGGATTTTTAATATGTCATAATAAAAACTCACTTTTAAAACACTGTGTGCCTAGTGTATACCATTTACATTTAGTCATAATACCTGTACTATTGAGGCAGGTAAGTAATTTTATTTACAACTAAGATTGAACCACAAAGTGCTCAATAGTGTGTGAGACCAAAATGAGCCATCTTAGAAATAAGACCAAAATGCTTTCACCCAAAAACTAAGGTCTAAGATTTCTCCTTTTGGGAATAGGCCATTAGTTACTGAAACCAGTCAGTTCAGATTCCAGAAACCAGGAAGTGTAAAAGTACAGAGTCACAAGGTAGTCACGAGGTGATGCCTGCCGGACTATGGAATGTCCTCTCCCTGGTTTCCAGGGTAACTGACCATAAAAATGCCCCCACCTGAGGGCAGCCAATGAGAAATGGTGGCGGGCAACCACTCCCTTAGAAGTAAGATTAAGCCATGATTTCTAGAAAGCCCCTAGAAGCGAGCCAATCAGAATTGTACTAGCACCCCTAAATGATGTAACCTTGTGACTTTTCCCTTTAAAAACTGAGCTTGCAGACAGGTGGGCACTTCCTCCAGCCTCCACTGTGTTGGATGTATTGGACGAAGTCCCTGCCTAGGCTTGTATATCCAGAATTAAACCTTGCTTTTGCATTCCGGCATGCTCGTCTTTGGTGGTCTCTCTGGGGGTCACAATCTGGGCACAACAGTGCACCTGTGGAAGAATGGGAAACTGCAGTCACACTGCATTGGGTAATAACCTGAAATCATTCACTTCCAAATTTAAGTAATAAACTTTGGCCGGATCTACACACAGGCCCCACTAGAGCAGAATGAATCATGGCCAGAATTAAAAGCTCCAGGGGAGGAGAGATGAGTCATGGTACCAGAGCTTTCCTTAGGGCCTTTGTCTTGAATCCTCCCTAATTTGTACTTGAGAAAAGAGAAACACACCAAGGAACTTCATTCTCATTGATTGATTGTTCATAGAAATTGCCTAGATTTCTAATCTTTTCACCCCAACTTAAATGCTATGAATCCAGTGTAACCTACAATGATCTCTGCAGCTGGGCTCCTGCCAGCCTCCCCTCCATTTTGTAACACCCACCAGGCCCTCTCTGCGCCTGGACCACGCAGGCTGTATCTCTAGTTCTTCTGTTCTGACCCAAAGCCTTTCCCCAACTTCAAGTCCCGGCCTCTCTTCCTTGTGGAAACTTCTTTTATCCTGCCCGTGGTTCCACAGTTGAAGTGAAATCATTCATACCACTAAATACCTGTCTTTCAGAATACTGGGCCAAGTAGCATCAGGTCTCTCCCTGTTGGGTTCTTTTTTTTTTTTTTTAATCAGTATTCAACCCTGCTGGCCCCACCTTCCCCAGATTGAAAACTCCTGAAGGAAGATATCCCTGTCTGGTTTTATTCATTGAGTCTCCAGACTGGGATAAAGCGCCTGACATTTAGTAGGCATTCAATAAGTATTTATGGAGTCAATGACTTAATAATAGCTCATCTGAAATTGAAATCTCGTTGGAAGGCGTGTTAGAATCTGAAGGCAAAAGTCATTATTTGAAAATGCCTGCTAAGGGTTTCTGGTCATTTCTGCAATCACTGTCTTGGGCTATCCATTTTTTTTCTCCCCACCCCTGGTGTTTTGAGATTGTAGCCCAGGCTGGCCTAGAAATGGTGACAATCCTCCTGCTTCAGCTTCTCAAGTGCTGGCCCCAAGCCTTCACATTCAGCTTCAAGCAATCAACTTGACATTTGCTTATGTAATTTGTTTAACAAAAGGCAAATACAACTTTAAAAACCTGAGAATCAGTTAGAGAGTGTAATGACTCCTTTGGATCATACCCTCCCTCTGTTCAGCCTCTAAACAGCATTACACAGCAGCAGTGCTCAGAAGTCAGCCTTCAGCTTGTCCCGCGATCTCTTCTGTGGGATCTGGCTGCCCTTGGCATGGTTTATGAGCCATTCTGAGTAGCAATCATGAAGGACCGAAGGCTATCCTAACTCATTTCCAGCAGATTCCTTTTCAGTTCAGTGGTCTGGAATATTAGATTTTCTTATTCTCAAGAAATAATGTGAAGAATTAGAACTGTGTATAGTCTATAAGAAGAGAGAAGAGGAGAGCCTGAGGTTCGAGGCCTTGCCATAGATAACTGAGAGGTACATTAACATGGCAGTCATAAATAAAAGTGATATATAGAGCTGAGTTTGGTGGTGCACACCTCTACTCCCAGCACTCGGAAGGCACAGGCGAGCAGATGGCCACAACTTTGAGGCTAACTTGATCTACATGCACACTCAATTCCAGAGCAGCCAGTGCTATATAGTGAGAAATGGCCTCAAACAAAACAAAACCTAATGTTTGGAATTATTTACCAAATAAGCATACAGTTAGGAATCATTTATGCTGGGCAGTGGTGAGACACACCTTTAATCCCAGCACTTGGGAGGCAGAGGCAGAAGGATCTCCGTGAGTTCCAGGCCAGCCTGGTCTACAAAACGAGTTCCAGGATAGATAGGGCTGTTACACAAAGAAACTCTCTCTCAAAAAACTCCAAAGGAAAAAAAGATCATTTATTAGTCTTTTACTACTTGTAATTAGAAGCATTTTTAAAATATCTTCATTAATTCTTTGGAAATTCCATACATATTTTGAGTATATTCACCCCAGCTCCTCCCCTTAACTCTTCCCAGCTCAACTCCCCCTCCTTATGTCCCAATTTCCTGTCCTTTTTTGTTTTTGAACCATTTTTAATTTTAGATTTAATTCTCAGAGAAGATGTGGGTTGTTAAGGGATTTTGTTTTTTTGTTTTTTGCTTTTAATTCTCTCTCTCTCTCTCTCTCTCTCTCTCTCTCTCTCTCTCTCTCTCTCTCTCTGTGTGTGTGTGTGTGTGTGTGTGTGTGTGTGTGTGTGTACCTAAGAGGTCAGAGAATTGGGTCCCCTTAGAACCACCCACCCAATATGGATTCTGGGGATTGAACCTGGGTCTTCTGGGGTAAGCACTCTTAACCACTGAGCCATCTCTCCAGTCCCCTCTGGTTTTTTTTATTTTTCACAAGCTCAACTTTTTAGATTTATTTTAATTATCATCTACAAACTTAAAAATGCTTCTCATCAGGCAAAAATCTCTGTCCAATTTACACCTGGCTCTCTGGACAGAAGGAAACTGCACAAGCTTCTAACCGAAATCTGTAGTTCTTGTTGGGACTCAAAGGTCTGAGTCCACTCCTGCTGTTTTACAGATACCCATCACCTGCTTTGTCTACGATATGGATTTCAGTACAGATTGGTAATACTAATGTATCTAAAATGTTTTTTAATGAAGCTATGTATTTACATTTTTTAATATAAAACTCCAGTCCCCTCTTACGAATATTTTTCATCAAGATTAATTTTAACATTGTTCTCTTTTATGTTGTTTGGTTTTGTTTTTATTTTTGACACAGAGTTGGCCTGGAACTAGTGGCAATCCTTCTGTCTCAACCTTCTAAATACTGAGATTATAATTCTATAACCCATGGATGTTATAGTCCTATAACTTATAGGTGTTATAATCTTATAACCCATGGTGTTATAATCCTATAACCTATAGGTGTTATAATCTTATAACCCATGGGTGTTATAATCCTATAACCCATGGGTGTTAAAATCCTATAACCCATGGGTGTTATAATCCTATAACCCATGGGTGTTGTAATCCTATAACCCATGGGTGTTGTAATCCTATAACCCATGGGTGTTATAATCCTATAACCCATGGGTGTTGTAATCCTATAACCCATGGGTGTTGTAATCCTATAACCCATGGGTGTTATAATCCTATAACCCATGGGTATTGTAATCCTATAACCCATGGGTGTTGCAATCCTGTAACTTATAGGTGGGCAGCATAACACCCAGCTGAGACTTCACGTTGTTTCACCCATTTTGGACT